TCAGGCAACCCGCTGCCAGCGGGAGAGTACATTTCAAGTGAGCTGCCAATTAGGTAACCCGCTGCTAGCGGGGGAGCACATTTTTAGTGATCTGCCAACCGGGGAATCCACTGCCAGTGGGAGAGGACATTTTAAGTGAACCACCAAGCAGGCAACCCGCCGCTAGAGGGAGAGCACACTTCCAGTAATCTGTCAGTCGGGTAACCCGCTGCTTGCGGTAGACCACATCTCTCGTGATCTGCCAATTGGCCAACCCACAGCTGGCTGGGGAGCACATTTCTAGTGAACTGCGAATGAGATAACCCGCGGTCAGCGGGAGAGTACACTTCAAGTGAATCTCCAATCAGGCAACCCGCTGTCAGCGGGGGAGTACATTTCGAGGTGAACTGCCAATCAGGTAAATCGCTGCCAGCGGGGGAGGGTATTTCAAGTGAACTGCAAATCAGGCAACCCGCTGCCAGCGGGAGAGGACATTTCAAGTGAACTTATTTTTATTTGTTACTCATTTAAAGTATAATTTATTTAATCTCTTCTTTTGAAGTAGTACGGGGATATCTGGTTAAGCCTGAGAACGCTTGGGAACTTTTGAGTCTGATACAGCGAGTTGGGCGTCTGAGCCCGGTTGAACCCCTAGAGTATGTAAGGCTGATGAGACGGAGAGAGAGTGACGGGGGTTGGGGGGCCCTACCGCTAAAGGCGAGCACGAAGAACGGTGAATATTTCTGATTAATTCATCTCATTATAATCCTACAGGCAGCGAGAGTCTTCAGACATGAAACTCATAATGACCATGCAGCAGGTGAGTGTTGAGGCCATCACCCTGCTGATCGCCGAGGACCTCGGAGACGGGCGCGGCGAGTGAGAGGCGCCGTTGCCCTTGGCTTCGGCGATCGGTACGCGACCCTTCCCCGGGTTCCCTCATAACGGGACGACGCTGAGTTGATGATACGGAAGAAGAAGGCAAAAGGGAGGGAAACTGGTGGTGATAACGACCAATCCTGGGTGAATGAAGTAGTAGGTATGGTCCGGAGAAGGGAAATCAGAGCACCGGGGGTCGCTGGTGGTGGCGCAGTGGAATTCCCGAGGACACAGTCAACGTGGCAGGGGTATCTCTGCCTCAGGATTTCGTTTATCCAAGGGGTCAAGTAATCTAGGTCAAATGTTGAGTCGGAATTCCAAGATCGCGTCATTGTGTCATTGCGGTATTATGAGTTGCCTAAGGGCGGGTCCGCGGCGATCGTGGTCGCCGTGTGCGAGCACGTGGAGGCCACGCAAAGGGCGTCGGACTTACACGTGCTCGTGCAGGACGACTGCGCCGCTGCGGATTCCGGGACGGCCATTCCCTATCGGATAGGGCATCTGCGATCGATAGTCCTGACGAGTTGACGCCCGGGGATACGTGTAGGTGCGCAACTCAGATCGCGTTTTACACGTGTCCTCGCGCGTTGTTCGCCAAGCCCGGCATCCGATCGTCTAATCACTCCGTGATGTTCTGAGCATGCAAGATGCAACGATCACAAACAGCTCGATCAAAAGGCNCGTTGTTCGCCAAGCCCGGCATCCGATCGTCTAATCACTCCGTGATGTTCTGAGCATGCAAGATGCAACGATCACAAACAGCTCGATCAAAAGGCAAGCAAAGACAAGGACACAATTATCGATTGCGCAAAATTCCTATTCTACACACGAGTGCATTGAAGGCGACAAACAAAAGCAAGGACAAGGATTCCCAGCAAAAAGATAAACAAGCAAGCATAGCATCCATACATCCATACATTCAGCAATCATACACATAGTGCATCCGAAGTGAAAATCGCAAAGATAAGTGCGAGCAAAAACCCAAGCCCAAATTCCGATAACAAAAATCGGGCAAATCGCCCAGAGCCAAAATTAAAACTTATATACACGAGACAGGAGGGAGAAAAGATAAAAAAAACAGCAACTCCACATCCATCAACCTCAACTCTCTCTCCCTCGCTCTTCTTCTCCGATGCGGACAGTCCGTCGTCGCGCACCAACCCACGAAGCCGTCACCCCGCTTAGTCCCCTCGCACCCATCGGGTTCGCCCGCGCCCACAGTCCGTCGTGGCCCGCGTCAACCCCGCGCGTTTGGCACCAGCTCGTCGGGTCGCCCGACTCCTGCTCTACTCACCTCTTACTTCGCTCGTGTGCCGACCGTCTCTGATCGCGCAACCCCGAGCTTCCAACAACTGGTTAAGAGAGCTAACTAATCGCGCAGCCGGAATTTATAGCGTGCATGCATGCACGAAGAACACAGAATTACAAGGACTTTGGAGAAGGGAAGGGGGAGGGATTGCCTACATCTGCATGGTCTGATCGTGAGTGGGGGACGTAGCCACTCTCCACTCATCGATCCGATAATGCAGATCGTGGCTACCAAAACCGCAGCAAAAGAAAGAGAAAAAAGGCGGGAAAGAAGAAGCGCAAGAAGAAAGATACAGTTACAATGGCGCCCACCCAAAATTACTGTTACACCCACGACTAAAGGCGCCTATTAATCAGAGTTCCGTTGCAGCCGCATGAAGAAGCGCGTAGGCAAAAAGCGCCGCGCGACAAGAAAAATCCTAATGACGAAATTCCTAAATTCCTATCTAATGCAAAGAAGCAAAAAAAGCACAAATTCCAGAAGAAAAGTCCGAAATTCCGAGAGCCATCGGGGCTCGACAAAATTCGAAAAAGATTTAAAAAAAAAATCAAAAAGAACGAAGCAAATTCCCGTGCGATGTCCGCGCCCAAAAGTTTGGAACCGGAACCAAAAAAACGACGTCAACATTTATTAATCGCGCGCGCGGTGGCGCGCCAGCCATCCGGCCAACCAATCAATCAATCGGTCGTCCCAGGACACACCCATCTCCGAACCCAACCATTCAAAAAGAAGCGACGAAAGAGACGAAAAAAACAAGGACACTGATGCAATTTTCCACCGATCCCGATCTCCCGTAATTGGCCCAACCTTCCCAACTTAGGGCCCCTCATTGCAACCGTGCAGAAAGTCGCGTGTTACAGAAAGTGGTTCGTCACATATGTGACGCCCAGGGGGTTCCAATATTAGCAAGCTCCTGCTTGCATGTTGACACGTGTCGATTTCTCTAATCGACCGACACGCGGAGCTCTTCTTTCTATGCCACTTACCGTTCAATTGAGTATGGACGTCTTCCAACGTGGCATGCAAGCTCTACTACTATTTCCTCGGGAAGGGCTATTGACAATCCAAGGAGGGGGGGGGGCTCACACCCGTCGTAGACTGACACGTGGCAGCCAACCATGCATCCGTGTAAAAAAAAAAAAAAAAAAAAAAAGGGTAGACCCTAGACGTTCCCGGGGAATGGCAGTCGAATCATCGAGGGTGGAGGTGGCAGATGGTTCAGGGGGAGAGGGGGCATGAATCGATTGATGGCGGGAGAGGCGAAATCAGGAAGGGTAGCGTAGTGGAAGGAGCGATGGATGCGGGGGAAGCGAGGGACCTCATGGAGATGGCGAAAAGCGTCGATGTAGTCGGGGTAGATGGTAGAAAGGGTCCGTCGCAGGGAGGCGTGAAAATCTTCGTAGTTTTCGCAGGCGGGGATAGTTCCAGATATAATACAATATATTTCTACGTGGTTATATTCCCGCCAGTCTACGCTAAACAGGAGCACATGAAGGAGAAAGGAATCAACCACAAAGCGGCTGGTGGCATGCGGATAAACGGAGACTAGAAGGCGGGTAGCGTAGAGATGGTAGAAAAGGTGATGGGGGAAAGGACACCAACCATCGGGGAACGGGGGTCTATCGGGAAGACGGGTAAGCATGAGGTAGTCACGGGGTCGGCGAGAGAACGACCGGGGACGAAGCCCGAACGCCGAGATCTTGATGTAGACGAATGGCGGACCGGGACGGGGAGCCGAAGGAAGCTGGCGATTCACTTCTTTTTCTTCTTCTTCGCGATCCCTCTGCTGCGGTTCTATCGTCTTCTTCTATTGGCGATTCCGGATCACACCACAGATCCCCGATCGATGGATCGATAAGAGAAACGTTTGTCGCGGGTCGCTTTCCCTCCGCGGTCTCCTGGCGCTTCCGCTTCCTCTGCTCTTCCTCCTCTTTGTTCTTTTTACGCGGCTGGCTCGATCCGCTAGCTATCCCCGTTTCTCTTTCCGATACGTAGTCCGGATCGTCACATTCTTCACTCGATGGCTCCTCTTCTTCCTCCTCTTCCTCTGCTCCCCCTATCTCCTCATCCTGCGTCGTGTTTCTTCTCGCGATCGGGTCCCAAAACGTGAGATCGGTAACTTCGATCTCCAAGTAAAGCGCCTGGGAGGGATAGAGACAGTTGTCCTCGTCAATCTCCGTACACGTGGACTACACAAGGTGCGGCTCGAGCGTTCGAGACAGCACGTGGGTGCCAGGCTGCTCGTCACTGCGTGACGAGATGTCTAGGGGCTGATCATCCTCCAGCTGAGTCAGAAACACCAGCAACTCATCCGTGATCAAGGTGAGATTGCCCTCCTCCACCTTCCCGAATACGAATCCCAGCAGATTGCCATGCTCTGCCGTTCTCCAGGCTTGGATGATCAGAAGCTCCACGCTGTCCTCTGGGTGCTCTGGTCCTTCTCCGAACGGGGCCGCTTCTGACCAGTGAAACTCTATCTCCAATGGACAGAAAGCGAGCTCGATGTAGTCCTCCCACCACGCGTCCCACTTCTCTTCGCTCAATAGCGGCGCACTGTTCTCCTTAATACGGTAGGAGAGAGAAGGGGCCCGCGCAGACTGCCAAAGGGTGGGGATGCTGGAGGGCAGGCCGAAATAGGAGATGCGACGATAACTCATTGGGGCGGCGCGGAGGGACGAAGCTCCGGAAGCACGATCGCTGGCGACCTTCGAGACGAGCGGAGCTGGAAGTCCGTGTCATGCGTTGGCACGACGGTATCTCCTCGTCGAGCAAGGAGATCTGTCCACGCTGCCCGCACTTCCCCGGCCCAGGCGCGCAACTTCCGATAGATGTCGGAGTGAATCGTCGACGGGATCGTTGTGATATCCCCTGTAAAGACAACGACGACTGCGATATGGCTAATCCCGGGGGGGGATAGTCGTCGGAAGGCCGAGATCTCAGCCAGAATGCACGTAGTTGCCTCCTCCGTGAATCGGAACTCCGTCGCCGCGTAGATCGCCGCCGTGCTGAAGAAGGCTGCGAACCGGAGGAGATCAGAGCAAAGATGGGGCTGCTGCACCTGCCGTATGACACTGATTCGCCCTCGCGGAGTAAGTAGCCGCACGCCGATCACTTCCTCCGTTGCAAAGCTCATGGCGATGGTGACCGAAAAATAGAGAAAGAACAGGAAGGAGACGGAGAGACAGGAGATAGGTAGTCGTCGCCCTCTTCCGCAGTGGAGGAGGAATCGGATGAGTGCGAAGATGGGGAAGGAGGAAGGGGACGAAGGTAGGACACGTGGCGGATGATCAGGCGAGCCAATCGTCTGTCGGAGACCTCAGGCGCAAGCCGCACGGTATTCACGCCGTTTGGTCCGAGTTCGATCATGCGGAATCGCCCGAAGAATCGTGGCGCTAGCTTACCCTGGCGAGCACATTTCCTCACCTACATGATGTCCCCTAATTTGTACTGGGGTTGTGGGCCTGCGTTCCCATTCCGGGCCTCGTAGCTTCGGACCTGTCGGCCTTGGGCCAACTCGGTCATTCTATGTCGTTTTCGGGCTAGCCTGGGCAGGGACCGTTCCATTAATTCTAAGTGTCGTTTGGCCTTGTCCCGAGACGTGGCCCTGGTGGGTCGCCGGTTCAATGTAGATTCATCTGGGAGGCTTGGTATCGAAACGCAAGCAACACTATTGGTCCTTAATTGGAAGGGACTTAGCCCCGTCGATTCGTGAGGTGTACCGCGATGAACCGCCAGGATGTGGTCAACGATATCAGGCCAGGGCCTCGGATCCCGTGCCGCGATATTTTGTCGCAACGCTGTCTTTATCACCCTCCTCGCGTATTCTACCAGCCCATTGGACTGTGACATGTGGGGTGCAGTGTTCCGTATGGCGACGCCATGTATGACCAGATTCCTTAGTACCTCTCCCCTAAATTCAGCCCCGTTATCGGTCAGGATCTCTCTCCGTATCCTGGTGCACCCCGAGGAAACGGTTGACGTATCGTGTGATTTCAGCGGCTTGCCGCGTGCGACAAGGGTAGGCTTCGATCCATTTCGAAAAATGGTCGACGAATACCAACAGGACTGAATACTCACAACTATTAGGACCAGGGGGCACCACTATGTCGGTAGTATCCATGCTGACTCTTTGGAATGGCCGTTCAACTACCGTTGGCACTATTGATCTTGGCGGCTGAATCGACGCTTTATCAGCGGCGCAGACTTGACAGTTGGCGACGATGTACTTCACATCGTCGCGGATATTGGACCAGTACCACTCATTTTTGTTGATAGTCGACTCCGTGATCCGTACGGCGAAATGAACCGCAGTTTCTTCATGTGCCGTCTTAACTCAGTCATACCTCATGAACGGATGTGGTACAACCATCCAAATCCCACTGTCGTCTGTTTTCCGTTTTTCTAACCTACCTTCTATCCATCAATAATCCTGAACCCTCTCGTTAGCCCTCCTCCGATCTTCCTTGGTGAAATCCTGGAGGGGGTTACCCACTAAGGTGGCAATCAAGGCGATACCAGTCCATACTTCGACCCTTCTAAACTTTCGGGTTTTTTCCAACCCTTCTGACATGGCATCCAAAAAGCAAGCCTCGGTCGGAAATTTGTCAGTCCGACACAAGGGGCACAACCACGGTTTACTGTCGTTTTTGTATTGGATGCACGAGCCATGGACTCGTGCGACACACTGTTGACAATCTATCCATTCCGCATACCCTTCCCCGTTAGGACGCATGAGACCGAGTACACGCGGGAGATAGCTTCGCAAAAATAGCAAAATTTGTCAGGCAGGGAGAGGAGAGGCAAAGAGGAGAGGGGAGAAAGAGGGGTAGTGGGGTTACCTCCATCACCCATTGCCACCGTTCTACTTCTTGCCACGTGGGGGAATTGCCACTTGTCCGTACTTAGGCTCGTTTGTCAAGTCCGGCTCCTTCCACGATGTAATTTCCTCGCCCTTTGGTACTTTAGCAGGTCGATGCAGACGTGTCACTCCGTCCGTGTTGCCGTGTCGCTCTGTCTTTCAATGAATGATATCGAAGTCATACTCTTATAGTCGCACCGCCCAACGGCCAATCATGCCCGTGTAATTAGTGAGCTTCTTCAACGCGAACAAAGGTTCGTGATCTGTTACGAGGCGAAACTTCTATCCGTAGAGATACGGATGGAAGTGTTGGATTCCCCAGACTACTGCACAGCATTCGCCTTGAGGTGTTGAGTCATTCCTCCGCTCGTCCGGTACCGTGCGTGACCTGTACTCGATGACGTGTTCACGACTATCGTTCCCCTTCTGCGCTAAAATAGCGGAGATAGCTTCCGGTTGCCAGTCCGTGATGAGAATGAACTACTTAGAGGGGTCCGGTCGAATCAAAATAGGATTCGTCGCCAGAGCGTCCTTGAGGGTCGCGAAGGCATGTTGGCACTCCGCGTCCCAACTGAGAGGCTGGTCCTTTCGTAGCAGGTTCGTTAGTGGTCGTGCAATCGTGGCGAAACCCTTGATGAAGCGGCAATAATACGATGCCAACCCTAAAAAGGCTCGAACCTGCGTCAGTGACGTGGGAACCGGGGCTTTTCTTACCGTCGTAACTTTTCTTGAGTCCGGCCGCCGTCCTCCACGTGTCACGACGTAGCCCAAGAACGAAATTTCTGAAAGGAAAAATTCGCTCTTTTCGAGCGCGATTTTGAACCCAGCATCTCTCAGCGCTCCCAATGTCCACTCGATGTGTTGCGCGTGCCCGTGATAGGTCTCCGAGTAGACAAGGATATCGTTCATGTACACGATCACGCAGAAGTTGATCATCCCCTGTGTTAGCCGCGTCTTGTTGACGAAGTTCTGGAATGTCATGTTTATCAATCGCTGAAACGTGGCAGGCTCGTCGCAAATCCCCATCGGACACCGAACCCACTGCCACTTGCCTTCAAACAACACGAAGGCCGTCTTTAGCCGATCTTCCTCCTTCGCCAGAATGTGATGGAAGCCATGCCGAATATCGAACTTGCTAAAGTAATTGGCGCAACCAATTGCATCCAACAAATCATCAAATAGGGGGAGGGGATACACATCTTTAATCGTGATTTCATTAAACTTCCGATAATCGATGCATATGCGAATTAATCCGTTTTTCTTTGGCACTAACACTACGGGAAATGACCATGGTCCGGTGGCGGGTTCAATCCACCCGCTGGCTTCGAACTCCCGAATTCGTTCGAGAGCCTTTTTGCGTTCTATCAGGGAGTATCGGTAGGGCTTGCAGTGGATTGGGGAATGATTTCCCGTCTGAATTTCGTATTGAATAACTAACGACACGCCAATGTCAGTGTCTGTCACGCTAATCGCTCCTTGATATTCCGTCAGAATATCCGCGATCACCTGATGAATTTCATCAGGCACATACTGCGGAACGTGTAGTTCAAAAAGCTGATCCCAGATTCGTACGTCAACTTACTTCGTGCGTGCCTGTTTCACCACGTCGGGTGGCGGCGCAGAGATGAACGAATGGTCCGATCGCCAGGAGAACACCGTGGTCATCATTTGGGCATCTTCCTCTCGTATGGACGCATGCCCTTCCGGGGTGATCCCGTCACAGATATCTTGCCATGGCACGGTTTTAGTTGCGATCTTTATTCTGAGTTCGTCTGATTCTCCCTCAAAACGCCCAAGGGGTTCCAGAGAACTGGCTTCTGCCCCCAAGCGTAGCAACCGTACTTCTTTGGCAGATGTTAACAGGAACTTCGGTAGATCCATAATATCGCAGTAATGCTTTTTGTCGCTGTATCTGGCGAGAAGCGGGGTGATTCCTTCGTACAGGGTTTAAGGGGGTTCCAAGGAATCGACCATCCTCGAAATTTGTACGAGGGGTTTACCCAAGATCATCGCCTTGGTCCTTTGAATGTTCCGACTGGTCAGATGCATCGTTCTTGCTATCGTTCTGGGTGGCGGGTAGTAAACACGCTGTCGTGCTAGCTTCGAGATTTCCGGATCGTCCTCATCACTGCTGTCCGCATCATTCGTTGATGACTCGCCGTCCGCGGACTCTTCCCAGGAGATCATACGGAGAGTTCCTGCTAACATCGGCGAGACCCGTAGGACCGCGTTGATGGTAGTACGAAGGGTTAGTCTCATAGGCACAGCATAGGGTTTTCCTCCCGTATTTCGGAGAATGATCAACCGTCGTTCGAAATCCAGATTCGCTCGTAATACCACAAGAGCGGGAAGTCTGAAAAGAACGTCGTAGGTATTTACATCTAGCACGACGACATCTCCCGGTGCGTGCACCTTTCCTAATCGGAAGGCGACATTGGTCATTCTTCCCACTGTCTTAATCTTTTCTTCGTCCGCCAAAATGAGCTGGTGTTTTTCAGCAAGCATGATCAGATCGTTTTTCCTACCTTCCCTCTCAACCACTCTTAGTGAAATAGCCAAAACAGCAGTTCCCGAATCTATAACTGTGTTATAAGGAATTTCCAAAATTTCAATATCGCATTCTGCGGATTTCCACGGGATGGGTTTAATTCGTAGGAAATGATCGTCTTTCTGGATTAACCCTACTCGTATCGGATCCGACGTGTCAGTCGGGTTTTCCTCGGGCGCAGGATTTTTAGGCTTTACGTTCGGTATTCGGGCGAGGGCGAATCATTTTCGGTTCGCCTTGCAGTGCTGTAGCATTCGCTCATTAGCTTGCTCAGAGATCGAGGGCAGATGACCGATCGGAAGCGGAATCCGATGGTCCAAGGATCGAATGATGTTCAGCACATCGATCTCCCCAGTGACGAAGTGGGTCCTCCCGACTCCATCTCACCTGGAAAAGGTCGCCACTCCGCCACTTCTTTCTGTTCTGGCGCTGGTCTGATCGTTCCGATCATTCCAAGCCCGGGATAACCAAGTGATACGTACTGATCTTACGGGATGAGCTCAGCGGCCTCTTCCGTGGTGGATAAGGCACTTCCCCCACCCTCTACTTCTTCCATTAAAGCTCCGACTCGTCCTGGTCCGTTAGTGATGGGGGCCGCGGTTATTGGCACGACCCCGACATGTTGTTGCAGAGACCTATGAGGGCAATCACGGGCTAGATGCCCTAGTTGATGACGTGCATAACAGACGTTCAGATTGCTTGCGACTCCTCCAAGAGCGGGTGTCGGGGCTAACCCTTGCTGAATCGGAGGGGCACGCACCACAATGGGCCGCATGTTCCTCATCATGGCTTCCAACCGAGCATTGTGCTCTCGCTGCTCCTTTTTGCTTTCCTGAATTAGGTTAACTAATGTTTTGGTCAGCTCAAAGACAGCAGTGGACTCGTTGGTTCTTCTTGGGTTTTCAACGGGTGGCGGGGGTAACGCCCTTACGGGTGTTGGTATCACAGGAACAGGAATACTCGGGATCTCACTTGGGTTTGGTCGTTTTGGACTTATCTGCTCCAGATAGGTGACGGGGCCAGACACAAATCCCATATTTTCAAACTTGTTCTGTAATGCAACCAGCTCGTCTCTCGCTCGTGCGAGTTCGGATGAATCTCCTTCTCTAGAATAATCTTCTCCTTCCAGGAAGTTCGCCGCGAACTTCCGTTCTATTTCTTCCGCAGCAGCCATGATTTGTTGCAGCGTGTGAGTGATGGGGCAAAATTGCTTTCGCAACTTAGCCCTTATCGTTCGGCTGCGAAGCCCATCAATGAACAAATCCCTTCCGACTTGTTCACCTCACTCAGTTTTCACAAACATTCGGTAGAACCGCTTTCGATACTCTGCGACAGACTCGAGAGGTTTTTGTACTCGGTCTTTGATCATGTAGAGTGCTTGCTCTGGGTGGACATAATCAAATCGATTCAGAAAATCCCGTTCGAAGGTCGGAAGATCAACCCATACATAGGTATTAAGCCAATGATGAGCGTCCCCTCCTAATCGAGCAGGAATATTTATCTGCGCTTCATTGTCATCATACTGCTGTGCTCTAAGCGTGGCCAGCCATGCTTCTGCGAGATGATGTGCTGGATTGAATAGATAGAGATCAGGTGGCGTCATGGGAGCCCGTGCTCGTGGGGCGAGTTGATTAGGATTCGGTTGATTAACATTCTGTTGCGGATTAGGGTATTGCACATTAGCATCCATATTGGTTGCTCGTCGATTAGCCGATCTGCTTCGGGTGATGACAGGGTCGCATTTATGCGCGTTCCGGGGGCGAGGCCGCCCTCTGTTAGCCAGATCGCCTAATTAGCGTGCTATTAATCCTAAGACCAAGCCACGTGTCGGGCTCCGATACCAACCTCACGCCCAACGCGACTTCCTGATCGGAGTGGGATGTGGGCCTGGAAGTGCGAAAAGGGGTGTGCCAAGGATTTTTGGGAAAGTGGAGTCCCAGATTAGAACTGGGATCTCCTGTGGAATGATCTTTCGGGGGCACGAGTGCAAGTTGGCGGAGAGGGCGTCTTCGGGTTACAAGGCAGATGGTATGCGCGGTTCGCTCAAGACCGAGCGAGCCATTGGTTTCGGGGACGGGTGTTCGTGGGCGGGCCCCTTCGGGGTAGGTGGGGTTCCGATGAGTCCGTCTGTCGGGAGTTGCCATGTGGCGCTGGTCGTCGCGTGTTCGGGTTAGGCTTCCGGAACTCCGGGGTTCTCTGATCTCCGCGTCGTTGGCAGTTCCCGCAGGGTGTGCTGGGCCAGTAGGGGGCTATGGCCGGCCACGGGACGACGCTGAGTTGATGATACGGAAGAAGAAGGCGAAAGGGAGGGAAACTAGTGGTGATAACGACAAATCCGGGGTGAATGAAGTAGTAGGTATGGTCCGGAGAAGGGAAATCAGAGCATCGGGGGTCGCTGGTGGTGGCGCAGTGGAATTCCTGAGGACACAGTCGGTTTTCAGTGTGGCAGGGGTATCTCTGCCTCAGGATTTCGTTTATCCAAGGGGTGAAGTAATCTGGGTCGAATGTTGAGTCGGAATTCCAGGATCTCGTCATTGTGTCATTGCGGTATTATGAGTTGCCTAAGGGCGGGTCCGTGGCGATCGAGATCGCCCCGTGTGAGCACGTGCAGGCCACGCGAAGGGCGTCGGACTTACGCGTGCTCGTGCGGGACGACTGCGCCGCTCTGGATTCCGGGACGGCCATTCCCAATCGGATAGGGCATCTGCGATCAATGGTCCTGACGAGTTGAAGCCCGGGGATACGTGTAGGTGCGCAACTCAAATCGCGTTTTACACGTGTCCTCGCACGTTGTTCGCCAAGCCCGGCATCCGATCGTCTAATCACTCCGTGATGTTCTGAGCATGCAAGATGCAACGATCACAAACAGCTCGATCAAAAGGCAAGCAAAGACAAGGACATAATTATCGATTGCGCAAAATTCCTATTCTACACATGAGTGCATCGAAGGCGACAAACAAAAGCAAGGACAAGGATTCCCAGCAAAAAGATAAACAAGCAAGCATAGCATCCATACATTCATACATTCAGCAATCATACACACAGTGCATCCGAAGTGAAAATCGCAAAGATAAGTGCGAGCAAAAACCCAAGCCCAAATTCCGATAACAAAAATCGGGCAAATCGCCCAGAGCCGAAATCAAAACTTATATACACGAGACAGGAGGGAGAAAAGATAAAAGAAACAGCAATTCCACATCCATCAACCTCAACTCTCTCTCCCTCGCTCTTCTTCTCCGATGCGGACAGTTCGTCGTCGCGCACCAACCCACGAAGTCGTCACCCCGTTGAGTCCTCTCGCACCCGTCGGGTTCGCCCGCGCCCACAGTCCGTGGTGGCCCGCGTCAACCCCGCGCGTTTGGCACCAGCTCGTCGGGTCGTCCGACTCCTGCTCTACTCACCTCTTACTTCGCTCGTGTGCCAACCCTCTCCGATCGCGCAACCCCGAGCTTCCAACAGCTGGTTAAGAGAGCTAACTAATCGCGCAGTCGAAATTTATAGCGTGCATGCATGCGCGAAGAACACGGAATTACAAGGACTTAGAAGAAGGGAAGGGGGAGGGATTGCCTACATCTGCATGGTCTGGTCGCGGCATAGGGGACGTAGCCACTCTCCATACATCGATCCGATCATGCAGACCGCGGGTACCAAAAACGCAGTAAAAGAAAGAGAAGAAGGGCGGGAAAGACGAAGCGTAAGAAGAAAGATACAGTTACAATGGCGCCCGCCCAAAATTACAATTACACCCATGACTAAAGGCGCCTATTAATCAGAGTTCCGTTGCAGCCGCATGAAGAAGCGCGTAGACAAAAAGCGTCGCGCGGCAAGAAAAATCCTAATGACGAAATTCCTAAATTCCTATCTGATGCGAAGAAGCCAAAAAAGCACAAATTCCAGAAGAAAAGTCCGAAATTCCGAGAGCCATCGGGGCTCGACAAAATTCGAAAAAGATTTAAAAGAAAAATTCAAAAAGAACGAAGCAAATTTCCGCGTACAAAAGTTTGGAACCGAAACAAAACAAACGACGTCAACATTTATTAATCGCGAGCGGTGGCGCGCCAGCCATCCAGTCAACCAATCAATCAACCAGCTGTCCCAGGACACACCCAGCTCCGAACCCGGCCATTCGAAAATAAGCGACGAAAAAGACGAAAAAAACAAGCACACTAATGCAATTTCCCACCGATCCCGATCTCCCGTAATTGGCCCAACCTTCCCAACTTAGGGCCCCTCATTGCAACCGCGCAGAAAGTCACGCATTACAGAAAGTGGTTCGTCACACCCGAGTGTGCATCATTGTGTCATCTGGCGTATCGGGGGCTACACCACTCATAGACCTCAACTATGATGACGGCTCATGTGAGCCGCACTGTCTCATCTTATGAATCAGGGGCTCTGCCAATTTCAAAAACTACACTCAAGACAACTGACGAATTGACAACACTGATCTCAACAACACCAACAGTGCCGCCGCCGGCGACATCTACAACACAAGCATCAACAACAACGACTGTTGTCACAACTGAACCAACTTCAATCAAGGTAAGTTACTGTACAACTCCGCTTCCGCCTTGCCTTCCTTGTGTGCAGGGTGGATCCAAGCGCCCTCGAAACGGTGCTAGCAATAGAGCCAGGGGACGGACGAGGATTCTTGGCTGGCAGTTGCGCGGAACATCTCGGATCTCTTCTTGCACCTTTTACACAGATACTGGTGGAATTGGTCAGGTCTGATGGTGGGGGGAGGTACGGTGGGCAAGGAGAGGAGGGGCCGTTTCCATGGGATGGAGGGGGAGAAGGGGAGACATATGCGGTGGTTTTCTTCGCAGTGAGGACAGTGATTGAATGTTATCTTGCTGCCTCCCTTTCTAAGGGGAAGGATCTCAATTAGCGACTTGCTTTTATTGATGTTTTATCATAATTAGTGCCCTCCCTTCGGGTTGGTGGTTGACTTAATTTGTCAGAAGGCAGGCACGTGTCATGTGCTCTCATAGCTAGGGTGTTCCAGTATGTGTGCTATGCCATGATTTGGCATGAAGGAAATCTTCGCCACCAGCGAGAGCAACATTAGAGCATTGCTTGCTGGCTTGTCCGATGGTGGCGCAACCGTGGAGCTGGTGAGACTCGTTATGGCACCACCTGATAGGCCAACATCTTCCTTGGAACCCTTCTCTCATCCTACTAGGGGAACACACACCTCAGTCTCGTAAATGGGATGCCTTCGCAGCAAACCTTTTCTCATATATGAGACCTACGGTGCTGATGATGGCATGGAAAATGCGTTGTTCTCATGAAAGAAACAAGTGTTTCTTCAGCTATTTACAAGCGAGGGAGGCGGCAATTGCAACTATCACTAACCATATCCAAGTAGCCTGGAAGCAACTTAAAGACCACAATGAGAGGCAACAACATAAAGATATGTTTCAGTCCATATTGCTGGATAAAAACAGGAAGCTGGTCACACTGGATGCTGGATGATCAGGATAACTTGCGCTGGCATAGGTGGGTGGCGAAGGAACCAACATGGGAGTGTCTCCCTCGATCTCATTTCAGTATCCCCTACCAAGAACAAAACTTTATCCTGGTTCCCCCCCCCCTTCTCCTTAAACCAATGCACTGTCACTCTCTCTATCCTGTCTCCTGTTAGCCCCTCCTCCCTGATGAGTCAGACCCCATCCAGTCAATGGGAAGGACATGAGCAAAGAATAACGGCGAGCGAACATCGAGTCACCACGGAGTTAGAAGAAAGCAAATCTGCTGCTGTGGGGCCTAGAGAAAATGAAGGAATTGAGGGGTTAAGGGTATAGATAGCAAGAGGACAGCAGTAAGAACTCAGAAACGGACGGGGAGGGGGAGTAAGGGTTTGGACAAGGGTTTCGGCGATACTGAACAGAGGGGGATAAGGAGACTGATGCTTATGAGCTCCAAGGGGCGGAGGGCATCAGACAAGAGGGTTTAATACTAGGTTTTGGGGGTTTTAGACATGAGATAAAAAAACTACCAAATGAGCTTACTGACTGAGTGAACCTGCAGATGAGTTTCGTAGGATCGCAGGTACTAATGCATGGTGGTTACCCCGACAACCATGCAACAGAAGGCTCTCCAGTGTGAACGACATTGGGGCTCGTTAGACACTCCTTGGGCGCGTAAAATTCCCAAGGAAATCTTCGTTCCACCTATCCTCGGGGAAAGAAAACGAAAACAAAAGTGAAAACATTTCCTCGGGCCGTCCTCGGGGAATCCTCGGGCCACAACCATTTTGCGGTTTCCCCCAAGGTACCTCCCGAGGTCTCTTGGAGGTGAAGGATCCGCAATAAACGGAGCGGCGAGGGCACCCGTCGTCGGCAAGAAATTTTGGTCGGCTGGTCCATTGGAGTTCCTACCGGGTGGCGCACGGACATCATCGGTCTTCAACGTTCGGCCTCCAGGAACCGTACCCCAACAGCAACCGTTGGTGGCCTGCCGACTCCCGCGCACGTCGTCCACAGCCGTTCTCCCTCGCAGTGCGTGGCGCCAAATGGAAAGCGGCCCAACGGCCCAGGGCCTTCGCCGCTCTCACTCGCTCCTTCGCTCCTCCTTCTATGGCTGTCGGTTGTCCCTCAACGCTCGCGCTGCTCTGTCTTGCCGCTCGCCCCTGATGTCAAAAACTTCGCATTGCCTGACCTCTCTTGTTTCTTCCTCTCCCCTTTCCCTCACGGTATTTCTTCCTCTCTCCTCCACTTTCTTCCCCCTGGCCTACTTCCTCCCCTCTCCTGCCGCTCCATTATCTCCTTGTGAATCGTGGCGTCTCATGCCCTCTTTGAACGCTGGTCACCATCTCCACTGCGAAACCTCGGCTACTTGCACCTTTCTGTCCATGGCCAGCTATGGCCGCTGCTCCGTGGAGCAGGGGCAGAACCGGGTAACCGAGGGGTAACCCTGGCTTGCCAATACGGCACCGAGGGTGACCTCTCGTGCCGCTCCTCCCTCGCTTCTCAACGACCATCTCCGGACCCGTTAGCTAATTGCCTGTCAAATCTGGACAGGATAGCCTTTCAAGCCCTTATCATTATAGGTTTACGGGAAACCCCATAGCAGCCAGCCCGAGTTCAAGCCTCCGATGAGGGAACATGCGGGGACTGCACCCGACCTGCAGGTGGGCGACATCGGTGTGGGGTCAGCCGGTAGCATCAGGACCGAGCTTCTTCGATGGCCCAGTCTCTTTGCCTCCCCTCCGGTCCCCTCCCCTCCGGTCCCCTCCCCTATGCACATCAGCGGTCTCTCTCTAGGTGGCAGGCACGGAGCTTGCCCAGGAAGGTACATGTGGCCAATGGGGATTGAACCCACTTGCATGGCTTACCAAGTGTGGATAGCAGAACCTGCTCAATGCCCCGCCAGCCCTACGACACAAAAGACAAAAGCCGGCAGGGATTGATGCATACTACGGGCTGCAAACCGCCGCCGGGCACGGCTAATAAGGGTCCTGGCGACACCCGTATCCCCGTACTTCAGGGTGTCCCCTGACACATTTGCCCGCCCAGTTCGACTGGGGGGAGCCAAATAGCCAACCAGAGGGCGTACTGTTATCGAAGGGTCCGGCCAGGTTGACCCCCGCGTTCAGGTCAGGCCAGGATGGGGCGTCAGTTGGGCGCCCGTCCGCGGGACCGCCGGCGGCAGAGGCAAAGTCGAGTGGTCCGGTCCGCGGAGGGAGAGGACCAGAACCTGTACGTATGGCGGGAGAGAGGAGTCCAGCCGGCGGCCTGCTCCCGCCGGCCCGCTCCCGCCGGCCACTAACTAGACCCATGGCACGTCGGCATCACCGTGTCCCCGGTTCGGAGTGTACGGACCGCTGCTGAGGGGGTGTTGCGCGGCCCATCGCTGTGAGCCGCCGGTGCATGCCGCGCGGGCGCCGAAGTGCGCGGCGGGAAGAGCGCGAAGTGACAGAGGGGGGCAGGGAAAAGAGAGGTCGAGGGAGGTCGAGGGGAGGGGAGAGGGCAAGAGGGAGAGGAACAGAGCGAGATGGAAGCTCTTGGAGATAGCGACGGGGAGGGCGGTGGCTCTTGCTGGTCATTCACGAGCACGGGAGGGCGGCAGGAAGAACGCAGGGGAAGAAAACTTATTTCGGCGGGAAGGAGGAGGAGATGGGGGTCTTGTGCAGTCGGGGTTTATTCCTTCGCTGCTATTTCTGCTGTCGTGCTGTTGCTATCAAATTGCAGAGTCACTGTCGAAGGACATGCCGGTTGCAGCTTCCATAGCCATGATGACGACCATCACCCTCATTCACATGATCATTCACATGATCATTTACATGATCATTCTCATGAACATTCTCATTACAGTCATGAGAGCCATGGTCATAATCCCTATGATCATCGTCACGATTCATCTTCCGTGGCAGCAGGTGATGATAGACAGGAACCGTCGGATCATGGTCATGCGTCGGGGATTCACAGCAGCATTTCCCACGACCGTCAAAACCCGTTTCACACGCACGATTACGCTCACGGCTACCGGTCGTTGGCGCAATTTCCCGACGAGATGGATGATTACCACGATGGTGACAGCAAGGGAGAAGAGGACGATGATGATCATGTGGACGGGGAACTTCATCCTCGCGGCATTGGTAGGTTAATTAGCATAATACTCTCATCGTATCATCGTATCTGCAGTCCTAGCCCCATCCTGATCCCGACTGTGCTCCTCCCCTTGTCCGCCTCCCTTCCGATAGCCTCTTCCTCCTCATCCCCCTTTTTCCCGACTGCACTCCGTCCCCCCCCCCCCCCCCCCGCTCCCCCCTCCCGCCTCTTGAATTCTCTAATAATCCCAGGTGCTTTTACTATTTGCTCCTCGCCCCCCCTCCCCTCCCCCCCTCCATTCTTTCCCTTCCCTTCCGTTGGCTTGGCTTTTCGGTTCTCATTCGTTATTTGCCCTTTTCTTGCATAACGTCTCATCTGAGTTACAGGTATATTTCGTGATACCAAATCTGCCCCATCTCCTTATCCAGATGGGTCGATCTACCACCATATCCGTTCTCTTCAGGGGCCATGCTAATCTTCCTTCTTTGTATCGTTCCAATGTTTTTAGCGGATGTCTCGACGACGGACCCCTCTCTTTCTCTACATCTGTATGTCTTTCGGTTGTGTGGATCTATCTAATAATACGTTCAGGTTCAGACGAATGTCGTCGACGAAGAGCGGATTCAGAGAATGAGAGAGATGGCATTGCATTTGGCAGCATTAAGCAAGGGAAAAAAAAAGCAAAGAAAGGAAAAAGCGAAGCAGCTTAACTCCAAAAAAAGGAAATGGAGTCAAAACAGCTGAAAAAGGAAGGAGAGAAAAAGGGAAAGGGAGGCGAATCAAGCGAGAGACAGCTAAAAGAGGAAAGAAAGAAAATGGGAGACGAAAAGGGAATTAAAGGGAACGCAACGGTGTAAAAGAAAAAAGAAAAAAAAGGGAAATGAAACACCTGAAATGAAATAAGGGGAAGTGCCTGACAGGGTTTCTCGCGTGCACCGTTCCCCGCGCATGGGGGAGTGAGTGCGAATTGCCCAACACGTCCCTTTCCTCTCTCTCTCTCTCTCTCTCTTTATGTGTATCTCTTTGTGGATCTATTAAACGGATCTATTACATGGATCTATCAAATGAATCTATTACCTACCTATCCATCAGTCATCCATTTTATCTATCTGTTTATCAATCCACCCATTCATCCATCTTATTTATCTCCCTACCTGTCTATCTGTCTATCTGTCTATCTTACTGTCTGCCTGTCTATCTGTCTATCTTACTGTCTGCCTGTAGATCTATCTATCTATCTATCTATCTATCTATCTATCTATCTATCTATCTATCTATCTATCTATCTATCTATCTGTCTGTCTGTCTATCTATCTATCTATCTATCTATCTATCTGTCTGTCTGTCTGTCTGTCTGTCTGTCT